GAGTTTAACTTAACTAAAGCCAGATTATGCATCAGTTTCCTCTTCTTTATGACATCTACTGAACTTCAGAACACATTCTTTTAAACATGTGCATATTAATGCATTACAGGCAGCAACACAGAGCTGAATGAGCTGTAGTAAGTAAGCCAGACTTTCTCTTGCCCCATAATTTATAAAATCCTGGAACTGGCTGTCAGATGTAAAGTTTAAATATCTCCCATAAAAGCACAATAAAGACTTGAAAAGTTCCTATTTGGACAGCAGCACGCTTTCAATATGATTAGCTTATTAAATAAATGACTTAAAAATATTCGTACAAGGGCGTAAGACATGTTCTACAGTGTTTAGAGGAGACTGCCCCAGAGACCTGCTTGATTTCATATAAGGACTGACTGCTTGTTTAACTCATGACACTGAACACACTATAAGGTAAAACCATACGTGTATGCATTAATCTTAAATATTTGTTGATGTCATTTGGTAAACTCAACAGAAAAGGAGGGGAGGATAAGGTGGGTTTGGTCTCTGAAGGTTTGGGTCCAAAGAGTTGATGCCATAGGAAGCCACTTCATGCAAAGAAGCCAAAACAAGCCAAACAGAACTACTGAGCTCCCCCTGAAGTAATTACCACAAGTAGAAACTTCAAAGAGGACACTTTCCTTCACAGTACAGTCAGACCTGTCAACCCGCAAACACTTACCTGAGCTTTGCTTTATTCTGTTATCATTCAGATGTTATTTGAAATATTTAGGATAATGTTTTAATGCGTTTTAGAGGTGTGGAAACCACCTGACAGGCGTGTACTGCAAAAGGACAGTGTCCTGCTGTGAAAACCAAAGAAAGACACCCTCCCCACTCTGAAAACAAAAAGCTCTGGGGAGGCAGAGGGGGGCAGAAAGGGTTGTTTTTCAAAACCAGTGATTGCTGGACGGCTGGACACCTGCCTGTCTATGGGTGCGGGGCAGAGCACGAATGGAGCATGAGAAGAATGGGGTTGCAAGGGGGGAGGGGACAAGGAGGAGAAGAAGAAGCAGAAGAGGAAAAAGAGAGAAGAAGAAGCAGGAGATGGTGGTGGACAGACGGACGTGGCTTAGAGGTCGACGGTGGGCAGCTGGCTGCAGGCCGACTGCGAGAGCTTTGCCACCACACGGGCCAGGGCCCGGTTCTCAGCCTGCAGCCGCTCCTTAACCTGGCGTAGGGCCTGAACCTGCTTTACCTGGGGGAGGTTCTGCAGGAGGGGAAAAAAGAAAAGAAAAAACCAAACACAACACAGAAAGAACAAAGAAAGAGGAGGGGGGACGGGGCGAGAGTGGCAGGAGAGGAAACATGTTTGAGGAGACAGAAATCAAGAGAGAAAGGATTAATGAAAGACAGGACAATATAAATTAATAGAGAAGAGGGGCCGAGAGAAGGACAAAGGGGGAAAACAGAAAAGGAAGACTGTTAGAAAATGGGGGCAGATTTTGGAAATTGAAGGAATGATTAAGAGGTTCAGCTTGATGCTTGTCGACAGAATGGAAAAGTGACACTGATAAGATCGGCCAGCTGGCTAAGCCCTAAAAATAAACACTTTGTTATCACAGTGATGGAGAACACATGCTTGCTACGGTTTAATAGATTTCCTCTTTTCTTAGCTAAAAAACATTTTCCCAAAAAGAAATACTTAATTAATCATCCTTAAATGTTAACAGTGGACAAATATTACAGCAGCTGACCTCAGATGTGCCCTGAAGAGCAGAAGGTGAGATTAGCAGGTGTACAAATGGAGACAGAGGTGGTTAACTGTGCCGGTCCAAATATAAAAACCTAAACACAACTGTGCCTAAGATTAATATATATTTTTAATTATTCATTTAATATGCCAAGAGTGAGGTGTTTTAGTATGAGCGAGACTAAGAAGCTACACAAAGAGGGATGCACTGCGACTAATGTTTAAAGTAACAGCTAACAGTCTAGTTTGACTTTGATATTTTCCCTGTTTTATTTCCAGGGATACAAAAAAAATAATCTTATGCAAAAATAAAAAATAGAAATAAAAAATAAGTATCCTATTTCAAAGTCTGTCATCATTTATCATCCCTATATATGATAAACAAAGCTGGTGACTCCAAGTTACTCTTTTTTTCTCTCTTTTTTTTAATTACCTGCCATATATTCAAGAAAGAATTGTCAATTTCGATTCATGACTTCTATTAGCTTACAGTGGTTCTCAAAGGCTTCACCAAAGAGTCCTCTGACACATTTGGTAATGTTTAGCTACTTGTCAAGTGATGCTAAGTCTAAACTAGTTAAAAGAGTAAGATTACCTCCCCTGTGTGAGGGGTACCTGGATCCAAATACTCTGAGCGGCAAGTGTAGCAGTGTTACTGTCTGTCAAAATTATCTGATTAGGTATATAATATGCCATTTACAATTTTTTAATTCAGTATGTGTGTGCTGGGTACCTTAAGTTCCTCCTCCATCTCAGAAATCTTCCTTTCTAGAGCTCTTCTTTCCTGTTGGGTGGAGGAAAGCAGATTAAATCTGAACCACGACACAAAATAAACACTCCAGTGCAGGCATGGAAGGAGAGGTGTAGGAGATGGTCGGGATGTAGTGGTGACAGGGCACGCTTGAACACAAGCTTATCTAGTGAGGCATCTGCAAGCGGCAGCCAGTTCAAACTTATACATTCAATTCATTTAAAGCCGTCTAAAGACTGGAATGAGTCGAGAAACAGGGATGAAGATGTTTAGAGGTTGTGTTTGATGGTTATAGCTAATGAAATGATTCATGGGCAAGGATGTCAAATGTCTTTAAACCCAAAAGACAATCCTATAATGTAAAAGGCGACAAGGAAAGAATGACTTGTATGATGACAAAATGTTGCTTAGATTAAAGCATGGGCTTAAAAATAATGGATGATGTGGCTACAGGAGCTGCAGCTGAAGATGCCAAAGCCATTACAGAAAGGGTGAAAACACACATGCACACGTTTTTATATAACAGCAATTTAACAGCCTGCAATTATTCAACTTTCTACAGAAACTGAGGTAATTTCACACACTTTCACACACTGGAAAAACAAAAATAAGCAGTCTTGAGAAGTGGTGACCACACGCTGCCTCTGAGGTTCAATAAACAGGTGAATGAAGAAGGTGGCAGTGTTCTGGGTGGCGTGGAAGGAGGGCGGGCTTCCCTTTGACCCTCAGCTACGTGAGAGACGACAGCCAGCAGCAAAGAGGAGACTAACACAAAAACTCAGGGTAAGATCATACCACCACCCAGATGATATTGGGGCCTGCTTGTTACCTTCAGACATAAACCCATTGGGGCAGTGTTACTGGGATGTTTAACCAAAGTAACTGAAATAAACTATATTTAGTCTGAGACACACAAGTTATACATGTTTTTAGTAAATGTGTTAATTTAAAATAAAATAAAAAAGGGACATTTGCAACAGAAGTGGGTTATTACACTAGCTCATTACCCTTTTCTCCATCTCAAGCTGTGATCGGTCAGCGTAGCGTTCCTGCCTCTGCAATGGGAAACAAAACTGTGTCAGAAACCTTTACAATCCCATCAGGATGATTAGCCATCCCATGAAGTGCTTCTCCATACCTGTGTGGCCTTCTCTAGTTGTAACTTCAAGTCTGCCAGCTCCAGGTCTGTGTCACGTAACTGAGCCTTCAACTTCTCGTTGTCAGCTAATGTTTGCTCGTAGAGCTGAAGAGAGGACCAATCAGATCCAACAGTCAGAAAGTGCAGCAGTCAAACTATTTATAATCAAAGATTTGTTGAGACTGGCCTACCCGCTGAGAAATGGGGCACATACATAAGCTTTGGTTTGCATTTTTAGCTTGTTTTTCTGTTTAGTTTTAAGCTTTTAAAAAAAGTTTTTGTTTACAAAACCAAACCTCAGAGATGCGCAGACATCCCAGACTCAAATATGCACAAAGACCCTGCTAAAGCTCACTGTGTTAAAAACATTCCTTTGTGTTTCCAAAGCAAAAACCTGTGTTACATTTATTTTTATTCTTGTTTAGTCAGTTAACTAAAATGCATTTTTATATAATTCATTTTACTTTTAATTAGAATAAATTTGGGCTTGAGGCAAGGTTTTATTACTCTACCATCTGCCGGTTTAGGCAATTACAAATTAAAAAGGAAGCCTATGTTTTGTTAATTGGTGCATGTGCAGTGCCATTGATACTTTACAATACTTGCACAAGACAACAATGCTCGGTCCTACTTATGTTGGACCTAACATCGGTTTTTGACACTGTTGACCACCACATCCTCCTTGAAAGGCTTAAACACTGGGTTGGTGTATCTGGAACTGCCTTAGAGTGATTCTCCTCATATCTACATCACCGATCTTTTTCTGTGGTGGTCTCCGATTTTAGGTCATCCTCAACCTCCCTCACTTGTGGTGTCCCTCAGGGTTCGGTTTTGGGGCCTTTATTGTTCTTAATACATCTTCTTCCCAGCATATAATGGGCTCTTTTGAGGACATTCCTTATCACCGTTATGCTGATGATATTCCGTTGTACATCTCTTTTAAACCCCAGGATTTATCTAAGCTTTAGCTTCTGAATGACTGCTTAGATTCCATCAAATGTTGGAACATTGGTAAAACTGAAGTCCGCATATGCACTCCGGACATATTTTTATCCCAGATAGTGAAAGCCTTGGTCCTCTCTCAGTGTATCTTAAATCCTCTATCGGGAATTTAGGTATCACTTTTGACTCAAGTCTTACATTGGATGGGCATGTGAAATCTCTGGTTCTGTCTTGTTTTTATAATTTAAGAAATGTGGCTAAGTTAAGCCCCATTTTATCTCGCTGTGAACTGGAGATTGCTATACATGCATTTATTTCCTCATGTTTGGACTATTGTAACTCGTTGTTTATGTGTCTAAGCAAAGGTTCTCTGGATCGTCTGCAGGTTGTGGAAAATGCTGCAGCTAGGCTGTTGACAAAATGCGCCAAGTATTCAGTACACTGGCTTCCTGTTGAATTTAGAGTACATTTTAAGATCCTGGTCTTGACATCCAAAGCCTTGCATAGACCGGCACCATCCTACATCTCTGATCTGCTACAGCCCTATGCCCCTAGCAGGTCCCTGAGGTTATCTGATCAGGGCTTACTTGCTATAAAACAGACTGAGAACTAAGGGTGAAAGAGCTTTTGCCACTGTGGCCCCGAGACTCTGGAACGCTCTCCCTCATAAATTAAGAACCCTGGACTCTGTAGTTGTTTTTAAAAAACAACTCAAAACTCACCTTTTTAAAACTGTTTTTGGTTAATTTTTTGCCTGTTTTATATTGTCCGTTTTACTTTTTTAGTATTTGTCATCTTATGTGCAGCACTTTGTGATTCTGTCTAGAAAGGTGCTATAGATATTTTTTATTATTTATTTAACAGTACTGTGCTAAAGTCTTAAGATTATTATTATTACTATTAGGCCTCACTCCTTGGAAGCAAAATGTAAAGAAATGAAGGATGTCTCAAGACTTTTGTACAATACTTTGTTTACGAGTTTGAGTTCTTTTGAAAATAAATACCTTCTTGTAGTCAGTGGCGTCATCTTTATCCAGTCGGCTAGAATACGGCCTTTGACTTTCACCGTAGCTACGGGTAAAAAGAGTGTCATTACGCTCTAAGGATGAAGTGCTCTCATTCCTGCAACAGTAATGACAGGCATTTGTTTAAAACACAAACACACAAACACAAAAAAGGAACATAACATGTTGGAGGGGAAAACCTACCTGAACAATCGGTCACTCTGTAAGAAAGAAAAACAAAACAAAAAGTTAGAAAGCAGTTTATTCTGCCATATGATGTTTTCAGTCGCTACACTTGGAAAAAATGCTAAAATACTAGAAGATTCAACTCTGATAGAGGGTTTCAAAAGAAAAGAAGAAAAAGAAAAACGAAAACACTAAACAGTAGGATGGAACCAGTTATTTAGACTACAGCACCCGACCTTCACTCCCAGCTGCTCTGCATGCACATACAGACACAGTAACAACTAACAGCTGACAGGCCAGCTACAGCCTTGAGGTGCCTGCACTGTGACTCTAGGTCTGCTGTGCTTGTGTAGTGCCACAGCCATGAGAATTGGGGGGGGGGGGTGTGTGTGTGTGAGATAAAAGCTGTAGAGCTAGCTCAACATTATTCAAGGAGCAACTGGAGAAAGACTTTGAGGACAGACTCTGGAATCAAACTGGCTGTTTTTTTGTTTTTAAATGATGTCTTTAGCGTCTTATCTACTGATTAGGAATCAACCAAGCATTTTGTTTCAGTACCAACATTTATCAGGATGACCTTAGATGAGCTTAAACTTAAAAAATATTTGCAAACTCAGCTCAAAAATAAATTTTTATGCCTGTAATTAAGAGAGACGAGCTGGAATGAAAGAGTTTTTCCTGTACATTTCTGGATAAGGGCTCCTTTCCGATTTGGTCCACCCTGTTTACTGTCCTACAGGAAGTGATGGTAAATAGCTGTTGTCTCTCTCTCTCTCTCATTCCCAGGATCTCTGTACTCAAAGGAAAACTGTGTGTTCGCTATTATGCTTCAAAAGACACTCCCATCCAAACAGGAAGTGCACCCAGCCAACAATATTTTCACAAAGCTGCCCTCTCTGTGGCTTCTAAAGACAGTATGAATGCACTGGATTCCACTGGTTTTTTTAAGTTTGTCACCAGAAGCCTTTAGGAAAATTCTTACATGTTATTTCTTGTTCGTTTTAAGCTGAAATTCTGACTTCATTTGTGGAGGGGGAAAATAAAAAGGGTTTAAATTTCAACTTGGGAAACCTCAGCATGTCATTTAAGTGTGTGTTCTGCCTATAAAAGACCTGCATTTCCTTCCTTTTGTGCTTCTACATGTTTTAAAAGCCCACTGATCTGTTGCCGAGTGAGCCTTTGGTTTGCAAGGTCACCCTCATACACCAGACAATCACCGGAAGGTGGAAAGGGGGAGGACAATAAGAAATTCAAAGACAGGAGTCCAAAAAAAGAAAAAGAAAAGATAAGCGGTAGGAGAGGAAATCATAGCTGTACAGCACAGAGTAATGAATATCAAAGCCTAGTCCACTTCCTTGGCCTTAACTACATGAGATGAGGCGAGGAAGGACCAGAATAGTAAATAAATGCAAAAGATGAAATAGACGTCACGGGATACAAGGAGAAGAGGGATGGAGGCTGGAGGGCTTCTCCTTTAGTCAGTTTAATCTACTTTCTCTCCTATGACCCGAGTTACCTGTGGCTCTCCCTTGGCGTTGCCCTCCTCCGAGTCCGACTGTTGATCGGGGTCATTTTCATCACCCTGGAATTTAAAAAGATATGAAGGTTAGGTGCTGCTTTGGGCCATCCAAATGATCAAAGAAACACCCGAAGCTGTGCACGAGTTATGAACTGTGCACTTCACAAAGAGTGCGATGACCACTTCAAAAACTGAGCTCTAAAGAGAAAGCTTTGCACACTGTGCAAATCTCTTACATCCTGACTCCAGAAGGACACCCCAGTGGAACGTCTCTTTTCGCGGGGCCGCCTGCGATCCCGTATGGAGCGGGGCTGAGACTTGTCCTCTCCCTCCTTTTCCTCCTCCTTCTTGTCTGCTTCTGCTTTCATTGAGAAGAAAGTCAACAATTATCGGACAGATTATGATTGTGTCACATAAAGAAACCTAGAGAATTACATCCATGGAGAATTACATCCATGGAGGATTTCATCTCTTCTCTTGCAAACATATTAAAAAAAATAAATAAATAAATAAATAACCGGATGCATGTTTTTGAACTGTGTGCATCTGTGTGTGAAAACATGCCCTAGCCTGCGTACAAAACAAGGACTTTAATGCTGTGAGGTGAAACTGTTACCCTGCCACCCTGCAAGTTTGCAGTCTTCTCTTATTTTGAAAGCTCAGTCCTTAATCAGCTAGCTCTGGCCTTTCTGTTGAGAAGGCATCCTGCTATTTTGGGGAAAAGCTTGGTCACAAGTCTGTCACAGTTTCCTTCAGCTGCTTTCAATTTTCCAAGGACACTTCATGCATTGGTTTGTTTAATTGAAGAGGTACTTAATTTAAAAGACAACCCAAACCCCTCCTGTGTCAATGGTCTAAATCAACATTTGGCATATGGCCCATGTGAAAACAGTGGAGACAGTTACAGCGGCAGGCACGTACGGGCTGTGCCTATATGGCTTTATGTGAGAGCACACCTCACCAAAGATGGCACAGTTTTAAACAGGAGGGATTAGCAATCCCCTTGAGGCAACATTAATAAACATCCATTTGCCCAGTTTACTACAGAGCAATTCAAATCTGACAGAGTGCAATGACTGTTTAAGATCTGAAGACATGTGTAGTGCTGCCACACACATACAGCCATGCTTTTATGTGCATTCAGTTTAAATTTGAAGACTTTTCCTCATCAAACACAACCACAACTTAAAAAAAACTTCTCAATACCTGTATCGGGTATGAAAAACACTCACCTTTTTCTGTATCTCTGGAGGAACGGCTATAGGAGGAGGTTATCCCCGTCAGACTGTTAGGCCTGTTGAGGGAGCTAGAACTGGAGGACGTGGTGCTAGAGTAGGAAGGGGTGGAGGCAGTGCTGACTGAGGAAATGGTGGAGGTGGAAGAAGATGAAGGCCTTGACCGCTGGGAGAGAGGAGGGTAAGATGAAGAGGTCAGGCTAGCTGTAATATTTAAATTATTATTATAAAATATTGTGTCATTTCAGTAACACATTATAACAATATAAACATTTAAAATATGTACCTCATCGTAGGTGCGGTACTTGTATCGGTAATCATCGTCCTTCGTCTCAGTCTCCTTCTTCTCCTCTTGCTTTTCCTTGTCCTGCTTCTCTTTCTCCTCCTTCTCCTCCTCCCAAGTCTTTGTGGTACGACTCCTGCCGATTGTTTTCTCAGCCTCTTGTAAATCAGTCAGAGTCACACCCTGAAAGAAGGAAAGTCTTTTTTAAATTTCTTTCTTGGATGATTTTTAAAAATTAAGTCTTATATTTGCAGATTCTATACATGCTGCAAAATTGGTAATTAATTAGTTAAAAAAAAAAAAAAAAAAACTGGTCGACTGATCCAAGCAAAGTTTTTTTTTTAAAACGGGGACAAAGCTCACATTCTGTAAAATGAGCTCTTGGTACAAGAGCTGCCTGTGTACACAAACAAAAAATAAAAGTCTGGGCTGTCTCAACAAGAATAACAAGTCTTATTTGAACAGTCTGTGGCCATAGAAATACAATACAAACCAGGAACATGCAGAGGTCATCATTTGTTAACAGTTTGTTTTGATGTGGGAATCCACCTTTATTTGGCTTATTAGCCGTTTGAGCAGTGGTGACTATTCTGATCATGTTAAAGCAGGTTTCCTACAACTGAAGACTCAGACCAACATTTAAGAACAAAAGCTGATGGGGATTTTTTTTTTTTTAAAAAGAAGGAAAAAAAGGTCAGATTAGAGACATAAGTTATGTTTTTGTGGTTTGGTTGAGGCTCTAGTTGTAGGTTAAATTAAACATGTTCCTATGAATACCAAATTCCCATTTTATTTACCCTTCCTACAGATAACATTATAAAAGAATGGTTTAAAGGCAGCATGTTATACTCATTTACTGGGTCTTAGTGCAGTTATATCACTGCATTTTTGCTCCCTTCCCCCTGCTGGTAAACCAACTTTCTTCTGGTTGGCTAGCCCTTGTAAGCACAAGGCTAGAACAGCAGGTGGGTTGAGTTCACAAACAGAGCTTTTTGAGATGGCCATATTAGGATATCTGCTCTTACTGACATCATACAGAGCCAAGGAGTAGTAAAAACACAGTTGAGCCTGACATTTTGGCTCACAGGGTTATGGGTCATTAAAAGGAACATACACCTTTGCAAACATAAGAGATGAGGACTCAGCATATTTAAGGTGATGTGGTTTAACTAACCTGGGTGGACCTCCTTGACTGTCGAGCCTGTCTGGAGCGAGCTTTCCTCTGAGACTCCGACTCCTCATCTCGCTTTGGAGTCAAGTATGACCTGAAAGAGACACAAGCAAAATACACAAACACAGACACAGAGGTTAAATATTTAGAGGAAGTAAAAAAAAAAAAAAGAAAAAGAAAAAAAGAAGAAACAAACCCCTCCTGAATGGGGAAGTTAATCTACTTAAATATGCTTCGTACTTGCCCTCATGATATTGAGCTTTACCATTCATTAAAGAAACAGGGGTCACTAAATAGGCTCTCTAATCAGCAGAAATTGCATCCAACTGTACAGATTTGCTGATAAAGTATTAACACACCTGCTCACACAAATACATGGGGCATTTACAGGTGTAAACAAGACTTTAGCAGTGTTTTATTTCCACCTTAAAACAAGCTTGCAATGGAAATGCGGTTAAACTACATGTAGAGAGCCAGGCGTTGCTTTCATCTGACGTGTTTTCAGCTCTTATTTAGACTACACTGGACTAAATCATCATGCATGTGACACAGGTCAACCTGTTAATGTGATCCTGCTAACCTTCAAAGACGCAGTCACATCACAAAATCTAAATATAAAGATTGAGGTAAGACTGTGTCACTGTGCGCTGGGAAGTCCTAGAGTGAAGTGTTAAAGACAATTTAATACTTTGTATCAACTTAAAGTAGCAGGTTCTCTTTTTACTATGGGCTTGTTCAGTGTCAAGACTGGAACCCATTAATCCTCCTTACACATCCGTTTACCTCCACAATATTGCTGTGCTTGTGTTTTTACCTAATGTTACATTTCTTTTCTCTGGTAGTTTATTAAAAAGGTTAATATTAACTGAGGAAGCAGTCAGCTGCAGTGTAGCTTGGCTGGAGTAAAGGACATCCATGCTTCACTTTCACAGGGGAAATTAAAAACAGCTATTGTAAAAATCACTGCTGTCTGCTAGATATATATTTGTAATATAGCAACAAAGAACAGATATGAGAAAGAGAGGGAAAAAAAAAATCTTGGTCATTTTCCCTCTAAGCCAGGATTTTTAAAATAATGTCTTCCTCGTGTGTTATATTTGTAAAATGAGATATATACCTCTAGGTTTAAACGTTCCGGTACGCGAGCTTCATGCCCAAAAGGCAACACAATTTGGGAAATAAAACAGTAATCGCTCGTCTCAGGCTGAAACACGCTTCTATTGGCCACACAAAAGTATGAACTCATTCAGCCCAGAATGGGGTCTTGGCCTTGAGGAAAATGTGCTTCTTCTGCCCACGTTCCTTATAAGGAGAAGTCGCTGGAGCAGTTCAGGCTCTGAAGCAGCCCGGCCCCACTCCCACCGTGACAGGTGGCTTATTTCAGCGTTGCTACAGGAGGACATGCACTGGACCCCCACTCAAACATACACATGCAAGCACAAGCTCTCTGCTTTCTCACTCCCTCCCCAGAATGTCTGCACAGAGTCTAAGAGTGAACACAAACCTACAGAAATGGAAATGATGGTAGCTTTTCTTCATGAAATAAGTCTATGGAAATGCTGAAAGTCTCCTTACATTTAAACAGCACCATAAATTTGGTGGACAGATGTGATTGCGATAAAAAAAAATTCACAAAGTTTAATAAAAACTAATGAAATCGATGTTTGAGTAGGTGTTTGGTTTACCTGCGTCTTTCGGTGCCAGTGCCAGTGGTAGTGGTGGTAGACGTGGTGGTCGTAGTAGAGCCAGTGTTTATAGTGGGGACGACAGCAGCCGACTCCTTCTCCTTCTCCCTCTCTGCACTCTCCTCTGACCAGTACCTGTTTATACACACACATTTTAAACAGATTCCCTTTCAGCTGCTGTAATACAAATGCAACAATCCTAAGCCTGTATATACAATTCAGGGCCAATTACTATACATTTTCTTGCCTGCCAGATGATCGTGTCAGACCGTTTGTTATGAAACCACTTCGAGAGTTAGCTCACCATCTTTTTTTTTAAGCACTTTGCTACTCTCTGGCTTTTGGTATCCACCACTTATGCTGCTGAATTTTAACAAAATAAACAAAACTTAGTAACATGATAAAGTGTTTACATTTCCACTACAGTAATAATACAGAAAATAAAGAGAATAAAGAGAAAAAAGGCAAACTGTTCAAACTTTGAGGAACTTCTGGAAATTGGTAAATTTATCATCATGGACATGGCTATCAACTAAATTAGAAGACAAACTATTATACAAATATAATACATGAATATGTGGTGAAACTGACCAGTATTACCGCTGCCTTCTAGCTTGTTTAAAGAAAGAGTGCATGACCTCAAATGATAACTGTATAGATTCATTCATTCATTCAGCTGCAGCTGAATTTCTCAACCTGAAAAGAAATAAATTGTACCTGCTGGTGAGACTGGTGGAGCCAGTGCGAGTGGAGGAGGAGCCCAGGCTTGAGTACAGGCCACGATGGCCCGTGGGCGAGGTAACAGATGAGGAGGTGGAGGTGGTCGTGGCGGAGGAAGTGGTCGAGGAGCCCAAGTCCTCGTGTCGTCTGCCGAATGAGCCGCTGTGGAATAAAGAATCATCGGCAAGATGGAATGAGATGCAAGTAGAGCCGTTTGATTGTGGCCAATCGTGGTTTCCACTTTTACTTTAATAATTAGGATGGAGACATGAGTTTATCAATTTTGGTTTTTTTCCTTTTTCATTGCACTGTATAACAACTAGTGTCCAACTAGTTTACTACACTGCATTGATGGTGAAGGCACATTAGGTGGGAGCAGTGATTGTTGTTAAGAAGGGACAGATGATGATGTCTCACCATGGCATTTTTAGTTGCAGTGATGGCGCTACATCCAAACAAATTTTTGTTTTATATGACTTCTATGTTTCTATTTAAATAAATAAATAAATAAATAAAATCCCCTCTTACACGAGTGTTTTTAAACAGTTCCTGGGACATTCACACTTCATATGAATGTCTGGAGAAACTTCACAGTGACCATTTACATACACGCGGGATGCCACTGATCCCAACAACAAACAGTTACTCACTTGAAGATGCTAATACGTTCTTCTCCTTGTACTGGAGTAATGCACAACTATAGGGCGGTAAATGTAGTCGATTACCATTAATCATGTTTTAAACCACAATTCTAACTTTACTGAAAGTTGTAACCAGCAGATAAATAAAAAGCCTTCCAACATTTAATATAACAGGGAACCCAAAACACAAGGTGGTCACTCCAGCCGAGCAGAGATGCAGAAAGTGAGAGAGGACAGGTGACAGGTGTAGAGATGGTGGTGCCTCGGTGAGGCTGGTGTACCTGCGGTAAATGCTGTAAGACGGGTAGTGGGAGGTGGGTGGCTGCCAAGGTTTAGTATTACAGGTGTTAGGGTCCAAGTTGGAGGTTGACGAAGACTTGGCTGGCACGTCCCGCGTGCTGCCGCTCCGCCCTAGCGCTAGCGTATGGGAAGTGCTAGCGTGTTGGCAGGCAAGTGGGCGAGAGAGGCATGTTAGCGGTGAAGGCGCACACATACAGACATATATACGCAGAGAACAAAGAAACATACATATTTAAGACTCTAAAGCTTTGACACACTGTTTTGTGCATTCATCTCATTTGGGAGAAGGATGATACTTTGCTGTATTTAAAGAGTTAAAGGAGGATGAGATACATCTAAAATCATCCAATTGTTGGGAGATCTTCACCATTTCCCCCCTTTTCAGAATTAGATTTAAGGATGTCTTGGTTGGAAACATCGAAACTCAGAAACAACAAGTTCCAAAGCAGCTTTTACAACTTGAAACTTGAGTGAGTTCATTAGTGGCTCACAGCCAGCATTTCTCCCATACGATATAAATGCAGCACAAGTCCATGTGCAAGTTCTGTGCCACAAACAACCCTGAGAATTGCTTATTTAATTGATTTATTAGATTGTTTGAGGCTTGTAAAATATCTCAGTGGCACAGCAACCTGACAGGACAAGTAGAGTCATGCAAAAGACTCTTTGGCGGTGACAGAGAGGCGCTGGGCTCATTTGCATGGCTTTCAGAGCAGCTGCTGCAAATGCAAGCATGTACATACACATCTCTGATGACATCACTAAAAGCAAATTTCCCTTCAGGTGACTGATAAATTCACTATTGATGATCTACACAGTTAATTTGGTTTCAAAGCTATGAAAGGCACCCGTATGATGGACACGACGAGATTGGGGTGGAAAGTTGTGGCAGAGGTTTGTACTACAGCCGAGGCTAACCTGCGCTGGTAGCTGGGGGTTCGGATGGTGGAGGCACTTCCTTCACTGTTCTTCAGGTCGTCATCCCAGCGTCGCCGGGTGTAGGAGCCGCTACGTATCAGAGCAGTGGAGTCCCTGGGAAACCACAAGCTAGAATTGTACCCCACGTTTCCACAGTAACATGTATACTAAAGGAATAGGTCTCCCATTTTTAAAAATTGTCCTTAATGTGTTTCTTGATTACTAAATCTATCACTGTACATCTAAAAAAAAAAAACAAAACAAAAAAAAGCAGCTGCTTAAGGCCACACCATGCACAGCATTGGGGCACCCAGCAGTGAGCAACAGGAGCCACACAATCCAATGCATGTTTGCACAGGGCCACGCGTCTCCAGGGATTCACCTGTTTTCCTTCTCGTCAATGTCCGAAGTACTGGCCAGTCTCCTGGGAATGGTTGGAGCCACATAGGCAAGACGGGTTCCTTTATCCTTTTCCTGCAGGCAGCACAACAAGCAGGACATAGCTGTAAAGGAGCTTTGTAGTATTGCTACAAGAAAGCTCTGTTACCACAATAAAAAACACAAAACCTTTTAATTAAGAATCATCTACGCAACCCCGCCTACTAAAAAAACCAAACCAAAACTGCTTCAATCCCTTCTGACCTTCTCCTTGTCTTTGTTGTCCAGAGATGTGGAAAGGCGAGGGCTCGAGGCCGAACGCATAACCCCAGTGGTATCCTTCTCCCTCTGTGCCTCCTTGGTGGCAGTGATCTCGGCCAGCGCTCCATAGCTGCCCGTCTTCCTCAAACCCAAACGCCAGGACGCTGGAGACTCATCCTTCCTCTCCTCCTCCACTTTAGTTGAGACCTTTCCAGCAGGCTGAGTGACCTGAGTGAGGAAAGGACAGCAGTCTAATTAAGACCTCGTTGACCATTTAGAAGGACAAAGATGTTTAGAGGTTTTTAGTTATCGTGGTAAGTAACGCAAAAGTCAAACAGGTTAAAAACAAGTCGGATTAATCCATAAGGGCTGCAAATTTTAGATTTTTTTTTATTTCAGGTGGAAACTTTATTATTTTTAAAAACATGTCAGATGTGACACATGACCAGAATGCCTCTTCCTGACTTCAATACTCTGTAAAATACACTCCTGGTTATATGCCATTTTCAAAATATGATGACTTCAATAACTCTTACAGCCTGTGGAGGTTTTGTCTGAAAACAAAGTTTACAAGCAGCAGAAGTTACACAGACGTGAAATGAAAGCATGATCAAGACAGTGCATTTGGTGATTACAAGTGGAAACGCCATGCTAGGGTGATAGGTGAAAAGCAGCTATTGGCAGCAATCAATCACGATTTTGGTTTTTCCACTGCGCGTGGTTTGTCATGCCATGAACATCCACGGTTAGGTAACTGTTTTCCCCCCCATTGCACCACAGAGGAGGGGACAGGTACCAAAACTATTCCTGTTTGTTATTGCTGCACATTTTATCAGCCTGTGTATGAGGGGCAGAGGCTCATACGCTGCAGCACTGTCACCTGTGTAGCTTACTGCACGGACGAGCCCTACTCGATCTTCAGCTGATAATATAACGATGTTTGGAAACTAAACCACAGCTGTTATTTCACCACATTATGTCGGCAACTTTGTTAATTTTGGAAAATTTTAAACAACTTCTTAACAAGAAATCACAATAACTGCCTCTTTGTACTTATTGTGATACTAATTATGTAATCAAAATATGAGGATGAATCCTTAGTGCAGGTAAATTAGCAATTTACCTGCTAGTTAACCTCTGTTTGTTCTGCGGTTTAAATGCATTTCCTACATTTTATTTCTTCACAATAAAAGCATCCTGTTCAATCACCAGTGGAAATTTTTTAATGTGAAACATGAAATGTTCAGTTTATGCCGTTAAACTAGTGGAAAAACCCTATATCGCCTGGATCAGGTCAGAATGGTTAGGGGTGTTTAGTGCTTTATCAGTGCACAGGTGCATGTAGGATTACAGAACAACTCTGGTGCACACCAAGGCCTCACCATAAGTTTTTTGGGCACTAGAGAAATGCCAGTTTTGCGCAAACCTTGACGCCACAATGCAGGACAGCCTGGCTCCGCCACAGGCATGAGGGGAGTAATACATTCAAACTAAAGCCAACCAAGACAAGAGCCCAGGGTGAGAATGATGCAGAGAGAATGACAGAGGGAGGGAGGGCATGGAGGAACAGAGAGGTTGAGACAGAATAAGAGAAGCAGCAGCAAAAGAAACACACTTTATGAGCAAAGACAGGCATTTTAAAGCCTAGTCACACCACACAATGCTCACTGACATTAATGTTCTCAAAATAAGTGACAGATGCAAACACTGGAATTTGGACTTTGCTAACTTATTAGACAGAGGACATTGTGGTTTGAGTGAGAATCAGGCTTCAAATAAGGACAGGAACAAGAAGTTTATCTCAAGAGAAGAAGCAGAAAAAAGAAACCAAAAAGGCTCTAGATGGGTGATGAGACAACCTCCCTTTTTTTCAGGTTCATTCAAGGGCTAAAGTCAGGTTTGGAGGTGGCATCACATATCACAGACTTGGGTGCCTCAAATTTAAATTTTAAGAACGTCCCCTACATGTGCAACATGTTTGTTTCACACTTCGATCTTGCTTCCTTATCGTTTGCTTGCTTGTGTTTTTACAACTTTTGCTTTTCTGTTCTAATTGTTTTAACCTAGAACAAAGAACATGAAGCACTAATGACAAAAAAAAAAGTTTATGATTACATTACATATTTTTGTAAACACCAAATATTATAATTCACAATATTTTAAATGCGTTCAATTAAATCAAAGAGGAAAACCTGCCCTTGGGGAAACTCAGAGGGTTCACTTTAGAAAAAATGCTTGGCATTATTCTGCCAGCAGAGGGCAGCAGTTTCAAAAGTGGAACATGACTGTAATTCAAGGCCTAGTTTTACTTTTACCACCCAAATGCATTTGTCTGTACACTTTGCTCCAACCTTTAGAACAACCTACAACTATACTGCAGAATTTTCCAACCGTCCCTATCCTGTTGCCATGTTTGTTAAAAGCTACTTATATTTATGTTCTCATTCAAGCCAGACAGAGCTATTAATTTATATTACTCATTAATTTAAACTACAGAACTGTATATGCAAACACCTGACTGCAAAATCAGGTTTTTGTTGCAAAGGGAGAATAAGTAATCCCCATCCCCTTTCTCCAGACAGGGCAGGACGGCAAAGAGTTCCCCGGTCGTACCTTTTTAACTGGTGAAGTGGGGGTCGTCACCTGGTTAGTTGGGCTAGTTGGAGAAGACACCGTGACGCTGGTTGGTGTTGTGCTGTTGCTCACTGCTGCTGAGGGCTTGCTCTTTTCTGCTGAGGTTCCCACACAAAAAAAAAAAAAAAAAAAAAAAAAAAAAAAAGGCAGACGAGAATAGTCACAATATGGTTTCTTGACATATTCTTGACATGCAGAATAAGTATAAAAGGCCCAGGAATTACAGAATAAAATTGGTACTTCATAATTAAAGTTTTGGCTCAAGACTTGAGCCAAAACACCACAAGTCTAACATAAAGATCATACAGTACCTGCTTCAGTCTCTGATTCTGAATCTTCTTCTTCCTCTTCTTCACTAGAGCAGCTTGATTCATCCTTCTTACCCTCCTCTTCTTCGTCCACTTTCTCTGGCTCTAAGGTCTCGATGCGAGGAGCGCTCTTCTCGGGCTCCAGAAGCAGCGTTTCTTTGCTAAAAAACACAAATGTAACACTGTTAGTATAGTACTGCAGCATCATTAGAGAGTAGGGCTCACAGATAAGCAACGTGAACTAGATTTTTAGAGTTTTGAGTTTGGTAAACTGAAGACATTTTCCTTCACCCCCTGGCTTTAGACAGTTTGACTTTCTGGCCAATTGCAGGAAGAATAAGACGCTACTCTCATACATGAAAGCAAGAAAGAAAGAAAAAAAAAAAAATTTAGAGAGAACACTTGACAAAGTGAGATTGTTCTCCTAAAGATATCGTCGTACCTTAGCTTTTTTGATTCAGTTAACCATTTCCATTCATTACTTCTCATTAGAAAGTTACCTCTTGATTGGCTTCAGTGATTGATTGTTGTCCCCAGTGGTGGTTGTTTCAATCAGAGGAGATTTCTTAACATCTTTCTTCTCACTTCTCAGCTGGAATTAAGATGATAACAAGACGCTCATGAGTCCAGCACAGGAAATGAAATTATACTATAAAAATTAAGACATGTTTTCCTGTCATGAGAAGGTTTCTTGGAATCTTTCAAGAATTTTGTTCAGATGCCAAAGTGACTCACCAGATTTTGTTTCTTCTGTAGTTCTTCTAAGTATCCCAGAACATCTTCATCTGCTACATCAAAAGCAGTCTGACCCTGAAGGGAAACACGTAAGAGTTAAAGACTGCACTTAACCTAATGACTGCTTCTAGTTCTAGTTCCTCACCATTTTATTCATGATGTCCATGTCACATAGATTCTCAACCAGTATCCTACAGGCCTCCTCTTTGCCCCAGTGTGCTGCTGCATGTAGAGGAGTCCAGCCATCATAGTCCTTAATATTTACATCATACCCTGCTTGGATTAAAAGCCTACAAGGAAGACACAGGGAGGGTGAATGTGTGGAGTGAATGACTGATTTCATTCTATAAACTGATTTTTCAAAGTGTTGCTAGGCTTCAAGCTCCGTTGTGCGTCAGTATTGTAACCCCAGGTCACTTTTATGAGATACAGATTCCCCGAAAAAACAGAGACGTAATCTGAAAATCTTAGTCATCCCTTAGCAAAGCTCGGTGAGGCTAGCAAATATTTCAGCCAATAAATCTGCCACGACGGGGGAAACATTTGGATCTCTGTCCCGTGTACGGTAGTTGTGCTAAACATCAGAGATCTTAGAGCTATCTATGGCAGCAGAGTGTGCTGGCTGGCTTCCCAGACCAGATGGACAGGCCGTTGCGGTTTCTATCCTTGAGCAGTGCAACTGTATTAACAACCCACAGTGACAGTGTCAGAACGAGGCAAGATGACAAGATGCAGAGACCGAGATATGTCTTGTATTACCGATGAAGCTAGGCATCACCACCGTCTTTACTATAAATAGTGTTCAAATAAAGTAACATACAGGAGACACTTTATGTACCAAAGTGTGCTTCAACTGTTTTACCGTCTCTGAGGGCTACTGCTTACTTTAAAACCTCGACGTATCCCTTCGCGGCGGCTACATGGAGCGCCGTTCCTCCAGATTTCGTATGCCGCACGTCTTGGATCTGGCCGCTGTTGAGCCACTGCCGGGCATCCCTCAGCATGATGCGCTCCTCCTCTTTCCGGGCTGCCTCGATATCAACCCCTGGAGAAATGGAGAAGCATGATAGTGTACAGACAGACACCCAGGGATTACCTGCTACTTAGGAACAAGCTGCCCGCTGCAGCAATGAACCTAGAGAGAGAACAAGACCCAATTAGATCAAGATATTTATGACTTCTACTTGTTTACATCCAGAGTAAGGTATGCAAATGTTTGGAACAGGTTGCATTAGTGACCTATTCATATTCTGTTGGAGGGGACGGGACCATTAGTAATAGCAGCTGTCTCTCTCGCAAGCTGCGCAGAATGCAAATGTTGAATATTTGTTCAATTCCGCGCCCCTTAATAGGGATAATGTAGCCAGTGTAATTCACAATAGCAAATACTGTGCGTCAAAGGGACCACAGCTGTGTAGCAAAGGTGCAGCTTTCACAATTCTCAGATTAGCCTACTCTAACTGATGAACATAAGCGACAAATATCAGCTGAAAAAGTTAAGGTATGAAGTCCGCCTGGTTGCTTTTATATTGAAAACATTTTAGAACAATATAGAAACAAAAGTACCTATGCAGACACTTAAATCTCTTGTATTGGTTTGTCCTTTTGAGGACCTAATGTAATATCTGAATGGCTTGGCCTGAATGAACTTTTCACCAAGTTTGTCAGCACTGCTCTAGATTACAGCCAAGACAAAACAAAATATTTCAGCTCTGATGAATGAGATGAATTTTTAGGCATTTTCAAACTGCACTTTTATCAAGCCAGGCACTGTTGCATTTCATTGTTAGAAACTTTCTATGGAGGGAACTAGACACAACATGGTTCTGCCATGCTCTGGTGTCAGCCATTTCATCTGCTCTAGGGAACAGCTTTGTGCCAATAATCTGTCAATGTAACAATACAACGGCGGCTGCGAACACTCCAGCCGGTAAGTGGCTCAATATGTTGAAGCTATATGCTGCATGCAGAGCAGTCTGTATTGACACGCCTGTACTGTCTTGATGACACCTGGTTGGAGCGCAAGACTGTCTGAAATGCTCTGCTGCACGATCTGAGAGAGATAAGTACAATGAACTGTATAAACAATGATCCAAAAAAGGGTCTGGGGCAGAAGCCAAAACTTCAGCTGGTCTTCTAGGATTTTGTTCTGCACTCGGGGAAACATCACCACTCATTTCCTGACAGCGTAGAATGATTTAAGACCTCAAGCTTTTTAAAGCAATGAAAGGACATCTGTGTCTGCAAATCTGCCATGAGGAAAGGGCAGTCAGAGGAAAAGTCTACGTTTACCCAGAGGTTTAGCTTCAGCTAGCTGGAGAGGAGCACGAGAAGGACATTTGTTTCCTAAACAAAGTTCGCCAGACACAGAGAATTGGTTTCCACTCTTTCAGGTTTCTGATAATGGGTCAATGAGCATTAAATATCATAGAAAAAAAAAAGAAAGAAAGAAAAGAAATTAACCCACACTCAACACAAGCTGAAACAAGAGCGGTCCAAGACTGCGTGTTTCCAAGCCTAAGGCTGAATATTTACTTCACACAATGCAGGACATGTGAATCTCCGAGATATTTAAAGCTCATTAGTGGTTAGTGGTTTAATGTCGTTTCCCTGAGTACAACTGCTCGTTTCACGCTAATAAAAATGAAACTAAAACAGGAACATTGAGAACAATAAAAACAATTTTAGTATAAATTTCATATTTTCAATAATTACAACATATGGGGTCTTTGGGTTATAATATGTGTTGCAAACACACACTTTGGAAAGGCAACTGACTCCTTTATGTCGACATCAGAGGCTCAGACTACATATATGCACAAACATCTCCTCGTGCCAAAGGTGTTGACAAATTTTACCATACTGACAAAGACTTAATGTAAATCACATTCTGCAGAATTTAAGTTCTAACAACCCTCCCACATCTGGATTATTAAGAGCAACATTTTTTTGCATTTTAATTTCCTAAGATTTTGTAAAGGTATAAGACAAAATGCCCAATAAATCTTGCACCTGGGAAAGAATTATTCCAAAAATCCAAGTGGTTAATGACACATTGAGCAAGTTGCTCACCCTGCATCGCTTTGAAAACGATGGCTGGTCGCTGGTGGACATTTAAGGCCCCGGTTGTCTAGGTTACACTCTGTGTTTTCTAATCTGTGATGTGTCAATCACCAGTATCGTGCACTCTCATTGATAGTCCCTTCAATCTCTCACCGCAAAGTTTATCACGGGATCTGCTCACTCTACATTGTCAGTGTTTTTCTTTCTGGTCTAACTTCATGTCAGTAACTTTCTATGATCTTTGGCCACAAAGTCATTGTGGATTGCTTACCTTGTAGACGCAGCTAAAATGTGCATGCAAATCTGTCCGCATCTTTTTGAGTAATCTTAAATGTACCACAGAAAACCACCATGGCACAGATAATTATGTTGCACATTGAGAGGATTAGTAAGCTAAATTCTAAGAAAGTGAAACCAAACAGGAAGAAAGTGGATTTCAAAGTTTTATGTCAAAGAGAGCAGCTTTGGGACAAAGACTGGGCCAGTTGACTCACTGTCATTGTGTCCTTCTCTGACCTGACAGTTCTAATAAAATGCTGTCACGGTTTTTACTCTTTAAATAAATATCAGCCCTTTAACATTGATTGTCAAAAGAAAAACGCACTACAACAGTGCATAACTTTCCAGGCAATTTTATGAGTGCGTTTAATATCTACCTGGAAGTGTTCTGAACCAAGAAGGTAACATTAATCAGACTTTGCTTTTTCCAGTGTTTGGAACAAATCTAAACCTCAGTAGGTTGGTTTGGTCAATGAAGAGGTGAACCAACTGAGGCTTGGGAACTGATGGTGGTCTTATGGCCTACCAGGGAAGTTCAATCAAGTTGATTAAGTATGACTTATTTATGGAAAACGAAGAAAACAGGAGTTATTAATTAGTGATTGAAAAAAAAATTATTCCTTCTGAAAAGAAAAAAAAAAAAAAGGTCCAAAAACCACTGTGTTAATCTTGGGAATTGGGACAGGTCAGGCGAAGCAACCACCCATAATCTCCAGAGAAGGAGCCGGCACTGTGTCTATAAAAAGCAGGGAGTAAAATGGCCAAGTAGGACTACAGAACAAGAGGCGAGTGGAAGAGTTGGCAGCAGTTCAACTTTGAGTTTTTACAAGGGAACAGCACATTTTCTACCTGAGCAAAAAGAAGATAAAGAGAAAGTCCACTACACCAAAAAAGGCATCGTGTCCCACTTTGCCCCGTTACCACTTGACCAAGAGTTTGTGTGGTGAACCCAAAAAGAAAAACTTTACAGAAGCCCACACCGAAGCAACCAAAAACCCAACAAGTAAACAAGTAAAGACAAGTCAAAAGAAATCAGGCTACATTTTCATCTGAAGAAAAGCTGCTGCCAGCTAAATCCACATTCCTCCCTTCTTATGCTAACAGGACCTTCAATCAATTGTGAGGCTGTCCACTTTCAGTCCATTACAAGGACAGGCAGCAGCTTGCTTGCTGTGGCTGATGGAGAACACAAGGAAGATGGCAGCGCACGTAAATCATTGGCCCAATCAGGGTCAAGGAGAGCATGGAAGGGTTGTCCCTGTAAAGGCGAAACTACGGTCAATCGCTAACAAGTTTAACCTCATGACTGGCATCTCTTTGCGAGGAGAAAAATCACATTACAAACATACAGAAGCGTTACACAACAGCTGGTTGCATAATGCTGCCCGCCCTACCTCTAGCATAAAGGGCTGAGCTGTGGATTGTCTGCAGCTGCCTTCAGCTTTGCAAATTCACTTTGCAGCTGAGTTTTAATCTTGCAAGCACTTTATGCAAGACCGTGTTTATAATTAAATTCATAATATCCACATATTGAAAATGTATTCAGTAATCTGGTTTAAAAAAAAAAAAGAAAGAAAAAAAAGACTGAAATGTGCAATGATTGTGGGGGAAGCAGTGCGAGGATGAACCAGGCAATGCATCCATCATCCATCGGGCAAATCAAAACTGACAGCAGCCACTGGCCAAGACACCTGACGACTGGGCGGGTGCAAACTCCCCTGACATTACATAATATGGCGCAAACAGTGCTCTAGGTTCAATTATCACTGGATGCCACAAGCTCTCAAATATTTGAATCCTGAATTAAAGAGAACAGAGATTGACAGCTCAGAAAGCCTTTTCTCAACAGACTGTTATAGGGGCAACTTAACGCCTGAAATTTGTGCAATTCTACACACTTGCAGAATCTGACTACCTGTGTAAGGTTTCAACTTTGAACCTCAGCGCAAACTATTAACTAAAGTGGTCCAAGACTACATACGTCCTCAAAGACTAAAAATTTACTCCACAGCATGCATGAGTTCAGTCCCTGGATCAAGAAGGGTGTATATAGGCAGATTTATTTTAGACATTTTCTTGAGAACACGCCCACCAGTATTATTAACATGTATGCTAAACCTTCCTTTAATAACTTTAAAGGTTAGTCCTTTCTAAGTTGGATCAAGCACCACCTTTAGTAAAATATAAAAATACATAATATTCATGCACCTTAACCACGATGTGTACCTAAGAGAACAGCAAGCTAGCCAGGCGTTATTAGTGAAGCCGAGGAGCACCCCCTCTGGCCTCAGGCCAGTTAGCATGTCTGTGCCTGGCCCCTCACCACAGGGAAGGGCCTTTCATCAAGAGCGCCCCGACCAAAAATAGTAACACCTGACGTTTTGCTTTTGAATCATCACGAGTGCTCGTAACACAAGTGGATCACAATTCTATATTATGTAAGTTTTTTAGTCAAACAGGCAAGTGGAAAACAGCAGGCGACTGACACCCAGTGAGAATTCAGATCCTATTTGAAAACATACTCATACATGCATGAATACAAATGGGGCCCCTGGCTGCTATGTTACCTTCAGCATGTCACATGATTAAGTTGGAACAAACAACAGTGCTCAAATATGAGGCACTTACAGTGTGCAGACACTAAACTACAGCAACCAAAAGCTCAACACCCATCTGTCTCCATTTCTTTCTTTCTTTCACATTTGGGTCCTGCGCTGCACCATCAATCACTACAATCGCGGAAACACTACAAACTGTTGGCTGATTTATTTGTCATGGCTGGAGACTGGAGGTGCAGGTATTCTGGTTGAGTTTTTACCTGGACACAAAACTCATCTGTGTAAAGTCTGCCACAAATTTTGATGGACATTATTATTAACAAACCATATGTTGACTTTGCTTAAAAACAGTGGTAAAAGGAGGTGCAAAGCCTTGTCCTCTAACCCAAAAGATTGACTACAGAGTTGTTCAGGCCTTAACAAGTGGGCTGCTAAGGGCCAAATTAATCTCTATAGCTCTGTGCCAGATAATTAATATTTGCCAAGAGACACTAAAAGCAAATTATCCAGTTTTGGTTGTTTGCTTTTGTTGTATTTACGTGGGGTGTGGGATAGTAAGATTAGAGCTACTGTAGACCGAAAACAAAAGGACTTATTGTAAACCTATATAAAAGGGTTCACTTCTGCATAAATAATATTACTACAAACTAGGAGAGCAAAGTTCAACATTACTGTAATACTGTACCTTGCCGGTTGATCTCATTCTGCAGGAGCTCCTCCATTGCCTCCTCTTCGGCAATGTCCAGAGGCGTCTCGCCCTCACTGTTTACAACTCCTACACTGGCACCCTGGCTGATGAGATACCTACAAAACATCACAAAAACAAACAAAAAACACCACAAAAAGAGTTAAACTAGTGGCAACAGAATATTTTTCAGAGCAATCTTTAAACTGCAAGTATCAGCTGTATTACAGGTTGTGGTCAACTTTAGCTCTCAAGGGTTTGAAAATAGGCTAAAGGCAAAAGTGCCCTCCTTGAACAAATGAGTAAACTGTTCAAAATGAGACGTGCAATGTTTTTCTTGGTTCTGTGCCAACATTAGCCAATAGCTACACCACAACCTGTGTCTCCAGTTTAGACAGTCATGACCTTCACATCATGGTGTGTTTAAACTGTATTGGGTCCTCTTCCGGCTATGTAAACACTGAACATACCACACCTAAGAAGCTAAGAAAGTAGTGATGGCGAGGAGTGGCAAAACCCCGGTCCATGTGTAGTAACAATTAAATCTGCAAAATAACTGGTCAATGATGATGAAGCATTTCCATTCTGAGAAGGCAGTTCTTCACCAGGAGCAACGGATCTGCTGGAAGACACCTCGACAAGATTCCCAGTTGGAGATGCACTGAAGCATCCCCACAGTATAATACTGCCACCATCATTTTTCACTGATGGGACTGTGTTCTTTGGGCCGTACGCCTCCCTCTTCTTTCTCCCAACATAAGCAGCATCTCTGAGCTCTAGTATCATCTCAAAGGACACGCTTCAAGCAGATATGTTTCTCCAGGAAGATCAAGGTTTGGGCCATGAAACCTTCTATAAAGAACACAATTTAACACTGCATTCATGTCTACTTTGTTACATTTTAAATACTACTCTCAATAGTCACTCAAAATATGTTAACCAGTCTACATCTTGAGTTCAGCTGCCTCAAATTAAAACTGTGGCACAATTCAAGGCCTTCTCATTAGACTTTAAACACGCACAATCCAATTCCCACCCCCCTGAAATAGCAACTACTGACTTACTACACAGTTACATTTCAAGGTTTTTATCTCTTTTTGATTGCACTTTCTATTCTGCCTATTTTAGCTTGGCTTTACTAGTTTTCCTGGCTTTGTGGTCTGGAGCTTTTGAACCAAGCCTACAATTAGAAGGCTGTGATCACTTCTAGGGACAGATCCAGCCCTGCTTTGCAGTTCCCGCTGTTGTCAATGAAGATCCTGGGATTAAAATGGGTCTACTGAGAGCTCACCGCCCACATCAGGTTGTCGAGTTTCTCTCCGTGACATGATGTCTCCATTAGTCACCAGTATGAGGATCGGCACTTGACCTTTTGCTTCAAAATGCGACAACAGAAAGCTTCTTGTTTTCTGTGCTGATGTCAAGTTCAGGCCAGCTGAATGCAGATTTTGCTGCTCTGAGAAGACCATTTGGGCAGTTCAGTTAAATGGCTAATGTAAGATGTTTTTCCTCTGATGGCTGTTTGTAAACTTTGGGAAAACACCAGCAGTGAGGAATACATTCTTAGCCAGGTTCCTGTAATGCAACACAAATAAAGCAGGTCATAGCACTCTCTCAATAAGCTGAACAATGAGCACGACTGAGCTCCATCAGCCCCCTTTAGCTAGTTTAAATATCCTATGATAACATCTCTGCCCTATGAGCAGTCTTCTCAGTTGAAAAAAAACCACTATGAGCAAGAAAATGCTTGAGTGAAACTTCAGAGCTTGATTCCAGATACAGCAGGTGACCCTGATCTCTCCATATTTGATTACATCACAGATGTACACTCATAACAATGTGCAAGTTATCAGATGGGCTGCCGCTGCTGTCCAAATGTGATGAGAATTGTTGTACAGGCTATGAT